TTTTTATATATAAATTTTTTTATATTAAAGTTTTTATATATATAAAATATAAGGAAAATTAAAAATTACTTGGTTCATTATAGTATGTTAACCATTAGTCATTTTACATATTAGAATGTTATTTTAGAACAATTTCTAACACAATGCTACAGATTTCAATGACTATTCAGTGTACAAAGGACGGACCGGGAACGGGAACGTAATGCATCAAATAGTAATGCCAGAGAGCGGGGCCCCGTGCGGTGTCAGGGCATGACCGGGGGCTCGTTTTGTCGTCGTTGGTCGTGCAACGGTTTCAGAGTATCTTCTGACACGGCGCTTTGTCATTAAAGGTCGGTTAGCCTCGCCGCAGTTTATACAACCAGTGCCTCTCGGAGGTGCAACGCGGGCGTGCAACGAATGCATCGCAACGTGGCACTCAACAAAAAAATCTGAGGCAAACCTCCTTACCCCACTATAGATATCATTGCGTCACATACGCCTCCGGCACCCTGCCACTTCTGAGGGTTCCTTTTTGTGTGTCGGACAATTGAGAATCGTGAAGTCTCGAGTGTCGAAGAAGTATAGGACAAGTCTTTGATTCTTGCTTTCAATTTGTTCATGTTTGGGTGGTATGACAGAACACAGTACCGCTTATGTCAGGGACCAAATAAATACGAGACATATCCGGGCAACAACACTCACACCGCCAGCTCGTAAATGTTGCATCGATCGTTCTAGAAGGTAATCTTTTGTGCGTAAAATTTTCCAAAAGCGTTACGGCAGACAGACGTCTGTACAGTTTCGGATATTAAAGTACCAAAAAATGATAGGCATAGTCATACAACAGATGAAGCCGTAGTAACAACTTTGACATAAGTGTTAATTTAGTGGCCAGGTTTATACAAGGGAGAACGCGAACATCGAACGACGGCTGAGCCGGAGTCCGAACCGCGGAAGAAAGTCCGTTTGGCCCCGGGGGAAAGTGAGGGGTAGACGAAGGAGGAGAGTCTCCTTCATTGGGCTGCCCTCGAGGTACGACGACCTCTCTGTGGTCCCGGGAGAGGGTGATAGAGACGGTCCGTCCTAGCCGGTTCCACCGACCCAGCTGACGGTAGCGGAGGGGCTAAGCGCGAGTTACTACGGGCCCACGGGAGCCGGGAGTTGTGGTCCCAGTGTTTGCTCGGACGAGACGATCCCGGACTACTGTGTACGCAGTGCCCTTGAGGGAGGAGGGTAGACTATGAGCCGCAAGAGATGGAGAGACCGTCGTCCGAGGCCCGACTCGGAAGAACGACCCGGGAGTCACACGTACTGTATTCGGCCAAAACGGATTACAGATTCCTTACCCCTGCTCAATACAGAAATAGACCACGTGCTGAGCAGTGGTACCAACCGGACGAAGTCAGTGGTGTGACAGCCTCTGTACGAGGAGGCATGCACACGGCTCAGCTCGGTCCCCTCGACAAACCCCGTCGAACGGGACATCCGTGACCTCGCACGACGGGATTGCGATCCGTCTGGTCTCGTCGTCGATAGCCCAGAAGTATCCGGACAAGGGGTGAGGCGTTCGTCCGGGTCCCCGGGGAGATGTCGTCGACGAGAGTTCCGGTGGTCGAATGTCAACCACCAGACGCGTCCAGCGGTCGCCGGGTGAGTAGGGTGGAGGGCCCCCGAAAAGCACGGTGGCGGAAATTTGATTTGGCTCCGGCGGAGCACGGGAGTCTCGGAACTGCCGCGGGGTCCCCCGAGGTCCTCCGATTCACCCAATCCGGGGGGCTCTGAGAAGCCCCCTGCCAATTGCCTACGAAAGGTTGCGTCGTCGAGTCAGAATGAGCCGACAGAGGCGATGAAGGCCGCGAACCCACCAAAAGGTACGAATGTTCACTGGATAGACGTTAGCGTGAAAAACATGTTAGAAAATATGTACTTATAGACACAGGGGGCCACAAGGTCCCTTGAGTGGTTCACAGTCTTTGTGTGGAGAGATAAAAGGAGGTATGGGTTTAGAGATTTTTTCCCCGGGACGGTTGCCTAGACGTATGTCTGGACTAGGTCTAAACTTTGGTGACAGACTGAATTCCTTTCCACCGTGATGCCGATAACCAGTTGAAGAGGTGATAGTCGCCCTTACTCTCCAACCCGGTGCCGGCGCGGTAACGCGAGCTTTTTCGCGACCTCTGCGACACGAGGACGGTGTTTTCGGTCGCTTGTTCTGAGGAACGTACCAACGGTACCAACGGGAACGACAAATAAGAGAGGCGACACGGGAGCAAAAAGGGAGGGGGCTCCGTTCCAACGTAGGAGGACGAAATTTTGTTTTACTTTTACTGAGGATATTATCGGTGTGTACATTCCTATTAACGTCGCTACGCCAGTAATACCCCTTTTCTTGTGTCTGTCCGACTTAGTCCTCGGGCTTCGCCCCCTAGATCTAGCCGTAGTCCGTGTAATACGGTTACACGTTACACGTGTAATAGGGCGAATAATGTAGAGTTTTTTTCATTGCTGTATGATGGGTATAATTTAAATTTACGAAAATTACCTAATCTTTGTTACGCTAAAATAACAAATTGTTTTTATCACATACATAAGCTAAATTTAACTGTATGTAGGCGATGTTTTATCAGGCAACCAATGACAAACTGATTGCATCCGTTGCCGTCCTTGACGGAAGTTATGCAAAAACTCCTCGAAAACTAATGTCTAACTTGTTTGTAGCAACGGAAACGAAATCTTTCATCGTGTTAAGTAATTACAGTTTGGAACCTTTCATAGATCTATCAGGGACGGGATTACGGTTTCATTGACCGTTGACCTTATACAACAGCGGCAAACTACAGATACAGACCTGGCGACGCATTTTCCTCCCAAAAGACGGAGGTAATGTGAAGAGAAGAATGAAGATATTCTTATTTGGTGCCTCTTGCCTCTAGAGAAAAAGAGGGGAGAAGAGCGGGCGGACGTGCGCGCGTCGGCTCGACTCAGGAAGTCTCGTGGCGAGGGGACAGGACGTCACCCCACACCAGTCGCGCGCAGTGTCTTAGTCGGGGACGTTTTGTCGCGACCTTTCTTACGTATATCTTTCCGCTTTACTCCGTACCGATTTTAACGTCCTAGACAAACCCACAAACTTTTTTTTGATATAAGATTATATGAAATTATATTCCATACCGGGATGTTATCATACAGTATATCGACTATCCCCGTGGAAAATTGGGGTCCCCATGCGTTGGCGTTCAAGGCCTGGGATCGGAAGCCGGCCCTGTTTTACTGTCAAAGTCGCTAGGCCGTCTCCCGGGATCGAGACCGGGTTCTCAAACAGCACGGAAGACAGGTTCCTGCGGTAGCTCGGTCATCTGGAGACGAATCGGGTCCCCCAAGATGAGCCGGCATGAAAACACACTCGTTCTTCCATCCGTTTAAAAGCGGACTAGAACCTGGAGTCTCCTTTAGTTGTCCAAGGACCCCCCCCCCCTTCCACGACGGTTAGATATACGACTGGTGTCGTGTACTGTCGGCACCCTGAACTCCCTACGATTTGAAGGTGCACCCGGCCCGTTGTACCACGGAATATAACGTTCAAGGAGCCGGGAACCCGTCCGACGGTCCGGTAACTCCCGGGAACCCGGGGCGACAGCAACGTGGCGGTTTTACGTCTACCACCGACTTGTCGGGAAGCGAACCTGTGGCGGTCACCGTGTCCGCGGTCCTTTCAGTCCCACAGGGCGTCGCACATGGGAGGGTGAGGAGCCAGTGTGACCTCTCCGTTCCGGGATAGAGGACTACCCGACGGTACCGCGGTAGGTAGGCGGTCCTCTGGTAGTGGTATCCCAACTCCACGTCATGTCCGTCCCGTTCCTGGCAAGTCCCAGTCACCAGACGGGTCCTCCCACGGCGGTACGGTTGCACGAACTCGAAGCCCGGACACGCGACGTGAGGTGCGTGACCCCCGGTTTCTTACACGCACAAGGAACCTGTCGTACAATCGCGACAAGGGCGTCTGTCGTCAGGGAAGGATCTCGTCACCGGCAAGAGTGAGGTGGGACTTAAATTACACCGGACGATAAAGAGTGGGCTGTATAAGCCCAAGCTCGGCCGTGGTTGCCGGCCCACGATGTCCAGCCACAGGGAGAAAGGACTCTCCCCGAAATGCCGTCGTAGGGGATCG